CAACCAATCAAAATCAGACCCCTGATTTCACCTCAAATTTTTGTCCATAGAGATTTGATGAGGTATATAGAATAAGTGAAATGAGGGCCTGATATTACGGTGTACAACACTATAATCAATATTATACTAAAATCAACAACAGTTTGATTCGTACGACTTCACAAAAACTGAAAAATAACCATTGTGATATATAATTCATGGCTTAGTACTGTTACCATGTAAGTGAAGACTTGAAGAAACACAAAGAAATGTGACCGATGAAAAAAAAAGTGCCGTTTAACAAAGTGTTTGGTTCATATTGCCCTTTGCTTACCCATCTAATTGGTGAAACTTTGGTTACTCACAGTACCGTCATAGCATCTTTTTGTTTTCTACACAGAATCTTGATACTCTTGCATCAGGACTTTTCATGTCTTCCTTCCATATCAATGATTATAATGAACTTTATTTATCATACAACAATTGCGAAGCAAGTTTTTCCAACTTATTTTGATCACTCTTGTTAGCTTAGATGGAAGCGCGAGGGGTCTTAGTGTGGGAGGAAAGCAGAGTACATGGAAAAAAAACCCTAGTGTTTTGGGCAGGTGACCCCTTACCTTTTCATATCCATTCCGGGAATTGAACCCCGGACGGATAGGTGAAAGGTGAGTGTGTTACCACTGCGCCACCCGACCACCTCAGTGAACTCAACGATTACAAGCGGCTTGATAATGGATTCTGATTAAGACGGATTTAAATGATTTCATTGACATGACACATGATTATCGTTATACGTTCATAGATCTGGCATATATATTAATTACGAGATTTTATATATATATATATATATATTATAAAATCTAATAAGCAATATCAACGGTATGGTCCAATATTGATACTGGATATTCTATATATAGAATGTAGTGAGTATTATCGACGGTATGGTCCAATATTGGTAAAGGATCTTCTATATATAGAATCTAGTAAGTAATATTGACAGTATGGTCCAATATTGGTACTGGATCTTCTATATTTAGAATCTAGTAAGTAATATTTACGGTATGGTCCAATATTGGTACTGGATCTTCTATATATAGAATCTAGTAAGTAATATCAACGGTATGGTCCAATATTGGTACTGGATCTTCTACATATAGAATCTAGTAAGTAATATCGACGGTAAGGTCCAATATTGGTACTGGATTTTCTATATATAGAATCTAGTTAGAAATATCGACAGTATCGTCCAATATTGACGGTATGGTCCAATATTGGTACTGGATCTTCTATATTTAGAATCTAGTAAGTAATATTGACAGTATGGTCCAATATTGGTACTGGATCTTCTATATATAGAATCTAGTAAGTAATATCAACGGTATGGTCCAATATTGGTACTGGATTTTCTATATATAGAATCTAGTAAGTAATATCGACGGTATCGTCCAATATTGACGGTATGGTCCAATATTTGTACTGGATCTTCTATATTTAGAATCTAGTAAGTAATATTGACAGTATGGTCCAATGTTGGTACTGGATCTTCTATATTTAGAATCTAGTAAGTAATATTGACAGTATGGTCCAATATTGGTTCTGGATCTTCTATATATAGAATCTAGTAAGTAATATCGACGGTATGGTCCAATATTGGTTCTGGATCTTCTATATATAGAAACTAGTAAGGAATATCGACGTTATGGTCCAATATTGGTACTGGATCCTGACAAACAAATGTTCGTTGGATGCGTATTACTGGGATAGATATATGATCAATGTAGTAATAACGACAATAAGGACAATTGTCAAATTTTCAAGGCAACCTGCTCTTTATCAAGACACAAATATTACATAAATTACATCATATACAGAGAACATCGGACAAATAAAAAGTTATAATAGAGTCCATTATGGTTGTTACTGCAGACCAGTGGAGAATTAAACAGTAAGGACATCACAGGCACAAATAAAGACAGAAAAAAAGTACACAGAACTATATATATATCAATGAAAGGTGAAGGTGACAGCTTACTTTGTAAGGATGATATTATCACTCTTTCAAGAAAAGTAAAATCTAGTTCTGATAAAATCACTGCATTTTTCTCAAATCCATTTTTCCACCCAAAATATAAATGATTAAAATTTTCATGAAAATTCAAATTATGTTATACAAATTGAAGTTGATATACACAGCATGCAATACTGTAAGTGATTCCAGTTATTTTCTGGTTCAATGTGTATATACAGTAATACTTCTGTTATCATATTAAAAAGCACCATTGAATAAATAAACATCTTTATCAAATCAAATCTTCCGGGGATTAACTTGGCTAAAAATAACTATTTCTTAAACATTGGTTTCTTAGATTAATATAGCTCAATACATGTACTTATACAATCATAAATTAAGAGTGCCCACAAAATTGACGAATATCTATCCCCCTCAAATATTAAAGACTCTGCAGTATTATAGTAAATAACCTGTCATAGACGTGCTTAGACATCATAATAGTGCTGAACTGATAACAAACATGTCTGCTTTACAATGCACCTGCTTGGATTCTTTTCAATGAAACATGTCTCAATAATTTTTAATACAACCATCTTGATGCTTTTGAAAGAAACACGTTTCCATGCTTTTAAATTCAAGACATTGTGATGCTTTAGAATGAAACATGTCTCACAGCCATTGAATGAAACATGTCTCACAGCTATTGAATGAATCATGTCCCACAGCTATTGAATGAATCATGTCCCACAGCTGTTGAATGAATCATATCCCACAGCTATTGAATGAATCATGTCCCACAGCTATTGAATGAATCATGTCCCACAGCTATTGAATGAATCATGTCCCACAGCTGTTGAATGAATCATATCCCACAGCTATTGAATGAATCGTATCCCACAGCTATTGAATGAAACATGTCCTGCAGCTATTAAATGAAACATATCCCACAGCTATTGAATGAAAGATGTCCCACAGCTGTTGAATGAAACATGTCCCACAGCTATTGAATGAAACATATCCCACAGCTGTTGAATGAAACATGACCCACAGCTATTGAATATAACATATCCCACAGCTGATGAATGAAACATATCCAACAGTTGTTGAATAAAACATGTCTCACAGCTATTGAATAAAACATGTCCCACAGCTGTTGAATAAAACATGTCCCACAGCTATTGAATATCCCACAGCTTTTGAATCAAACATATCCCACAGCTGTTGAATGAAACATGACCCACAGCTATTGAATATAACATATCCCACAGCTGATGAATGAAACATATCCAACAGTTGTTGAATAAAACATGTCTCACAGCTATTGAATAAAACATGTCCCACAGCTATTGAATGAAACATATCCCACAGCTGATGAATGAAACATATCCAACAGTTGTTGAATGAAACATGTTCCACAGCTGTTGAATGAAACATGTTCCACAGTTGTTGAATGAAACATGTTCCACAGTTGTTGAATGAAACATGTTCCACAGCTGTTGAATGAAACATGTTCCACAGCTATTGAACGAAACATATCCCACAGCTGTTTAATAAAACTTGTCCCCCAGCTACTGAAGGAAACATATCCCACAGCTATTGAATGAAACATGTCCCACAGCTATTGAATATCCCACAGCTGTTGAATAAAACATGTCCCGCAGCTATTGAATATCCCACAGCTTTTGAATCAAACATATCCCACAGCTGTTGAATGAAACATGTTCCACAGCTGTTGAATGAAACATGTCCCACGGCTGTAGTATGAAACCTGTCTCACAGCTGTTGAATGAAACATGTCCTGCAGCTATTGAACGAAACATATCCCACAGCTGTTTAATAAAACTTGTCCCCCAGCTACTGAAGGAAACATATCCCACAGCTATTGAATGAAATGTGTCCTACAGCTCTTGAATGAAACATGTCCTGCAGCTGTTGAATGAAACATGTCCCACAGTTATTGAATGAGACAATGTCCTGCAGCTATGGAATGAAACATATCCAACAGTTGTTGAATAAAACATGTCTCACAGCTATTGAATGAAACATGTCCTGCAGCTATTAAATGAAACATATCCCACAGCTATTGAATGAAACATATCCCACAGCTATTGAATGAAAGATGTCCCACAGCTGTTGAATGAAACATGTCTCACAGCTATTGAATGAAACATATCCCACAGCTATTGAATGAAACATGTCCCACAGCTATTGAATGAGACAATGTCCAGCAGCTATGGAATGAAACATATCCAACAGTTGTTGAATAAAACATGTCTCACAGCTATTGAATGAAACATGTCCCACAGCTATTGAATGAAAGATGTCCCACAGCTGTTGAATGAAACATGACCCACAGCTATTGAATATAACATATCCCACAGCTATTGAATATCCCACAGCTGTTGAATAAAACATGTCCCGCAGCTATTGAATATCCCACAGCTTTTGAATCAAACATATCCCACAGCTGTTGAATAAAACATTTCTCACAGCTGTTGAATGAAACATGTCCCACAGCTGTTGAATGAAACATGTTCCACAGCTGTTGAATGAAACATGTCCCACGGCTGTGTAATAAAACTTGTCCCCCAGCTACTGAAGGAAACATATCCCACAGCTATTGAACGAAATGTGTCCTACAGCTCTTGAATGAAACATGTCCTGCAGCTGTTGAATGAAACATGTCCCACAGCTATTGAATGAGACAATGTCCTGCAGCTATTGAATGAAACATATCCCACAGCTATTGAATGAAACATGTCTCACAGCTGTTGAATGAAACATGTCCTGCAGCTATTGAATGAAACATATCCCACAGCTGTTGAATAAAACATGTCCCACAGCTATTGAATGAAACATGTCCCACAGCTGTTGAATGAAACATGTCCCACAGCTATTGAATGAAACATGTCCCACAGCTGTTGAATGAAACATGTTCCACAGCTGTTGAATGAAACATGTCCCACAGCTATTGAACGAAACATGTCTCCATAATTTTGAGTGCAAAAGGTCTCCTAGCTGTTGAATAAAACATGTCCTACAGCTATTGAACGAAACATGTCTCCATAATTTTGAGTGCAAAAGGTCTCCTAGCTTTTGAATGAAACATGTCCCACAGCTATTGAACGAAACATGTCTCCATAATTTTGAGTGCAAAAGGTTTCCTAGCTTTTGAATGAAACATGAAAAACCACATTCTCCTACATTAATAAATAATCCCGTCGGATAACGTCATCAATATATACCGATGCTGTCTGGCGGGTCATCAGAATGTTTTAATATTGGCCAACATAATACCAACTGTTTACCAAAATGTTTCATCCATATGTTCCCAGCAAACACATTGTCAAAATATTCTCCTGTTTAGCGAGTCATCATCAAAATATTTGATGTTGACCATCACACTATCATAAAGTTTCATTGTTTGGCAGCACAACATCAAAATTCTTTCAGGCTGATGACCGTTTTCAAATCGCTTTGAAGTTGTTATTTCTTTTGTCAGTGATATTGCAATGTTTACACAAGTTTTCTAACAGATTTTCTGTGTTTGTAAAAGTGTTAATCATTATGTCTCTACATCATCTGTCACTTTGTTTCTCAGACAAAGCCACATGTCATTGAATCGTTTTCTATATAAATGAATTGTAATTATAACCTTTATACCCAGTGGGTGTTGTGATTTCATCTCTTCTCACATGACTGACGTCGTGAAAGGTCACCGAGATCGGAGAGAATTATCATTAAATGCACTATTCAATTTGACAATGGTAAAAGTCACTCTATTTTCAGACTGCATACACCAACCAACATGTGTAAAGTCTATTATCACAAAACACTTCCTCACATTCTTTCTTCCGTCATGGACAGCACCTCTAATCTTGTTTCTTGTTTTGTTAAATATGTAACCATACTTGGTCCACTATTATTACTATTTCATCGGTACTTGACAGTTGCCTTTACCTCGTTGTCAGTGACTATTTACTTTCTAGTGCCAGGACAATTCTTTCCCAGGCGTTCGACTGGACGGCATTTACACAAGCTAAAGTATTCAGCTGTCTTGGGGGAAGACAGTAGTCATCTTTCAAGACTGGGATAATATTGTGTCCACGTGCCATGTTGTGGTGCAGCGATAGTGCAAAATCTATTTCATAATTATTCTTGATTTCTTCTGTTCTGCCCACATTGCTCGAGAGAACAATCAACACTTTGAGACTTTCCTTTATACATCTCTCCATCTCCGTGAACTTGTTGTACCCAAGTTGATAGTCCCGCTCTGGTATGGCACCCTTAAACTGGTAAGATTTCTCAAGTTTTTGTAGGAGGGAGTAGTATACCCATTCTTTCTCAGATTGACAGAATATCACATAGAAATCATACTTGTAATACGTGTTACGAGGTTGTGGTACAATGTCAGGGATGAAAGAGTTTTGACGAACCAGTCTCTCAGGATCAGGGTATGGCTGACAGCAATGGCTACAATGCGATCCTCGTTCTTCTACGTTTGCTTCCTGCTCTTTCTCCATTTTAGTTGCCAACAGACTTTTTGCATACATCACTTTCTGTCTGTACAAATCCTTAATTAACGTGGTTTCTTCTGTTTCTGATTCCTCTAGGGAGTCTTGAATGATGCCCACGGCCTGAGAATTTCTGTCTACACTATCAGGGTCCTGTTCTAGATAAGCATGCATCATTGACATTTCCTGTGGAAAGTCTTGGACATATTTTTTCGTTGACTCCAGGATTTTCCTACGCTCATAGTTCCTTGCTGCATATTGATACCAATAGGTCATTTCATAAAGGAGCATGTTCTGTTTGTATGTCCATGTCTTGCATGATTTGCTTGCATCTTTGATTGGTTTTAATGAGTTATCAAAAAACTGGGACGAATCTGTGGTTGACGGAATGCCTTGATCAAGTTCAAGGTCATGTATTACTTCAACAGCTACATCTGTTTGTGTGATTTGTCTCTGGTCATGGCTATGGAATTCCTGTCCTGTTTCACAGACTTCCTGTCCTGTTTCACGAAATTCCTGTCCTGTTTCACCATCTTCATGTCCTGTTTCACGGAATTCCTGTCCCGTTTCGCGAGATTCCTGTTCTGACTCAAGAAATTCTTTTTCCTTACTATACATCTTAAGAAATGTCTCAAATAATTGTTTAAAATTTTCGATAGGCCTGTTTGGAATATCCACCTCCATACCCCGTTTGAAGCATTCAATGGCTTGTCTGTCTTCACCTATGGCCTTTAGGAATAATCCGTGTTTCTTGTGAATCTCTGGCTTTTTCTCAGTACCCAGACATTGTACAGCCTGCCAAAAATACTCAGCTGCCTGCATTGCATCATCTGATTCTGCATCCATAGTGCCATCACTTTTTAATCCTTTTAAATAGTATGCTTCTGCTATGTTTGCCAAATCCATTGCAGTTGTGTTTATGTGGAGAGCTTCCTCACCAAATTTTATGGCATCCTCAAGAAACTTTTCACAAGACTTTTCCGCACACTGCTTTGACTTTTCAGGATCTACAACTAGATCTTCATTGGGCTTTTGTATAGACCTCTCGATATTTTTAGAATCTACACAATTGTCTTCATTGTGCTTTCCCAAACACTGTTTTGTCTCTTCAGAATTTACAGTTGGACCTTCATGCAACAATCCCGCAGACTGATTTGTTTTTACAGTATCTGAGGATTGTACTTTGTTTTTAAGTAAGCGGTACATTTTCATATTTACTTGAGATAACATTGTCTTTGCAAACCAGTTGCCATCTTCTGGACAGATTTGCCAAGCTTCGCGTAGTAAGTCAATAGCCTTTTCGAGATGGTCCCGATTCCTAGAGGTACGTAGATAGGTGGCATATCGTATTCTGATTTCTGTTGAACGATGGTCCATGATCTCCATATCAAGTGCTCTTACAAAGCAAATTTCTGGATTCTGATACTCTTTTTCGATATTCAGATCTTCAATAAATTTCTGAACATGTTTTGGGGTCTGTCTTGGCTTTTTAAAGAAAAAGACTCCTAGATATGCCCATGTCCATGCTTTCAAATCCTGGGAGGCCACATCAGACATAGTTATATCCCATAAACACTGTATTCCCTCGCAGTATGAGTCTCTGTGACCTGGCTGTGTGGCAGTGTTTTCCCTGCGCCACACTCCTTGATACACTTTGTGATAACATTGACCTAGCCAATATTTAACCTCCAGCTCCAAGTTAAGTACATCATTCTTAGTCTGCTGTTCAAGTTCCTTTTCTTTTACTGATCTGATTAAATTTAAGCTATCAATAAATAATTTCAGTGAACGATTAGCTCGGACCCATTCATCTTCCTCTGTGTAACAATCCATGAAGAATGCGATTCCATGCTCCGCAAGAGCTTCAGCATCATAATACTCAAACAAGAAGTTGTCTTGTTCCATATTTCCAACACAAGTATATTCATGACCGACTGATCCGCAATTTTTTTCCCGCTGCTCCTCAAACCTCTCTTGCATATCTTTATATTGCTTGGCTTTGCTGTTCATGTGTAATCTTTGATAAACTGAGATCATGTGAGCAACAGCATTCTTATTGTAATGGTTTGTCTGCAGAACATCTTTAAAACAGTCAATAACAGCTTTAAGCTGATCCCTCCTGTAAAACTGGAAAATTCCTTTGAGGTTCTGCATTGCATTCTTTGTCATTTTTAAGGATGCAAAATCTTCCAGAAGTTTGTCGGCCACATCTATACGAAAGTTAAGATGTTTTGTCTTTGGATTCTGTGCAGTATTAAGACAAAGCGAAAAGAATCCAGCCCGAGATTTTCTATTCTCTGCCATTTTTTAATGTAAGGTGATGATTGCTTTTAACTGTGGGATATATGATGAAGCACCCGAGTCTTTTCCTAACCTTGACTCTCAGTGGCGATATCTAGTTCCTAACAATGACTCTCAGTGGTGATATCTAGTTCCTAACATTGACTCTCAGTGGTGATATCTAGTTCCTAACATTGACTCTCAGTGGTGATATCTAGTTCCTAACATTGACTCAGTGGTGATATCTTGTTCCTAACATTGACTCAGTGTTGATATCTTGTTCCCAACATTGACTCTCAGTGGTAATATCTAGCTCCTAACATTGACTCTCAGTGGTGATATCTAGTTCCTAACATTGACTCAGTGGTGATATCTAGTTCCTAACATTGACTCAGTGGTGATATCTTGTTCCCAACATTGACTCAGTGTTGATATCTTGTTCCCAACATTGACTCTCAATGGTGATATCTAGCTCCTAACATTGACTCTCAGTGGTGATATCTAGCTCCTAACATTGACTCTCAGTGGTGATATCTTGTTCCTAACATTGACTCTCAGTGGTGATATCTTGTTCCTAACATTGTCTCTCAGTGGTGATATCTTGTTCCTAACATTGACTCTCAGTGGTGATATCTTGTTCCTAACATTGACTCTCAGTGGTGATATCTTGTTCCTAACATTGTCTCTCAGTGGTGATATCTTGTTCCTAACATTGTCTCTCAGTGGTGATATCTAGTTCCTAACATTGTCTCTCAGTGGTGATATCTTGTTCCTAACATTGACTCTCAGTGGCGAAATTTTTTTGTCATTGGCTGCCAGTGATGATATATTGTTCCTGATAATTGCTGTCAATGGTGGTGTCTTATTAACAGAGGACAAGAAAATCCTAACACGGATCCCAGTAGAAGCAATAGCCTCGAAGTGTCTGTGTGATGTTCCACTTATCAATCTGAAAGGAAAGCAAAGTGAATAAGAAATAATTACCTCTGAGAAAATCAAACATCAGACATTAAAGTCTTAATCAATTCACCTTGCAACATTCAAGTGTAATCACCCTGGGACCTATAAGTGTAATCATTCTGTAACCTGTGAGTGTAATCACCCTGAGACCTGTAAGTGTAACCACCCTGTGACCTGTAATTGTAATCACTGTGAACTGTTAGAGTAACCACTCTGTGACCTGTAAGTGTAATCACCCTGAGACCTGTAAGTGTAATCACCCTGTGACCTGTAAGTGTAATCACCCTGTGACCTGTAAGTGTAATCACCCTGTGACCTGTAAGTGTAATCACCCTGTGACCTGTAAGTGTAATCACCCTGTGACCTGTAAGTGTAATCACCCTGTGACCTGTAAGTGTAATCACCCTCTGACCTGTAAGTGTAATCACCCTGTGACCTGTAAGTGTAATCACCCTGTGACCTGTAAGTGTAATCACCCTGTGACCTGTGAGTGTAATCACCCTGTGACCTGTAAGTGTAATCACCCTGTGACCTGTAAGTGTAATCACCCTGTGACCTGTAAGTGTAATCACCCTGTGACCTGTAAGTGTAATCACCCTGTGACCTGTAAGTGTAATCACCCTGTGACCTGTAAGTGTAATCACCCTGTGACCTGTAAGTGTAATCACCCTGTGACCTGTAAGTGTAATCACCCTGTGACCTGTAAGTGTAATCACCCTGTGACCTGTAAGTGTAATCACCCTGTGACCTGTTAGTGTAATCACCCTGTGACCTGTAAGTGTAATCACTCTGACCTGTGAGTATAATCACCCTGTGACCTGTAAGTGTAATCACCCTGAGACTTGTAAGTATCATCACTCTGGCCTGTAAGTGTAATCACCCTGTAACCTGTAAGTGTAATCGCCCTGTGACCTGTGAGTGTAATCACCCTGTGACCTGTAAGTGTAATCACCCTGTGACCTGTAAGTGTAATCACCCTGTGACCTGTTCGAGTAATCACCCTGTGACCTGTAAGTGTAATCACCCTGTGACCTGTAAGTGTAATCACCCTGTGACCTGTAAGTGTAATCACCCTGTGACCTGTAAGTGTAATCACCCTGTGACCTGTAAGTGTAATCACCCTGTGACCCTGTAAGTGTAATCACTGTGACCTGTGACCTGTAAGTGTAATCACCCTGTGACCTGTAAGTGTAATCACCCTGTGACCTGTAAGTGTAATCACCCTGTGACCTGTTAGTGTAATCACCCTGTGACCTGTAAGTGTAATCACCCTGAGACCTGTAAGTGTAATCACCCTGTGACCTGTAAGTGTAATCACCCTGTGACCTGTAAGTGTAATCACCCTGTGACCTGTAAGTGTAATCACCCTGTGACCTGTAAGTGTAATCACCCTGTGACCTGTAAGTGTAATCACCCTGTGACCTGTTAGTGTAATCACCCTGTGACCTGCAAGTGTAATCACTCTGACCTGTAAGTGTAATCACCCTGTGACCTGTTAGTGTAATCACCCTGTGACCTGTAAGTGTAATCACCCTGTGACCTGTAAGTGTAATCACCCTGTGACCTGTTATTTCAATCACCCTGTGACCTGTTCGAGTAATCACCCTGTGACCTGTAAGTGTAATCACCCTGTGACCTGTAAGTGTAATCACTCTGTGACCTGTGAGTGTAATCACCCTGTGACCTGCAAGTGTAATCACCCTGTGACCTGTAAGTGTAATCACCCTGTGACCTGTAAGTGTAATCACTCTCTGACCTGTAAGTGTAATCACCCTGTGACCTGTAAGTGTAATCACCCTGTGACCTGTAAGTGTAATCACCCTGTGACCTGTAAGTGTAATCACCCTGTGACCTGTTCGAGTAATCACCCTGTGACCTGTTCGAGTAATCACCCTGTGACCTGTAAGTGTAATCACCCTGTAATGACCTGTAAGTGTAATCACTCTGTAAGTGTAATCACCTCTGACCTGTAAGTGTAATCACCCTGTGACCTGTAAGTGTAATCACCCTGTGACCTGTAAGTGTAATCACCCTGTGACCTGTAAGTGTAATCACCCTGTGACCTGTAAGTGTAATCACCCTGTGACCTGTAAGTGTAATCACCCTGTGACCTGTAAGTGTAATCACTCTCTGACCTGTAAGTGTAATCACCCTGTGACCTGTAAGTGTAATCACTCTCTGACCTGTAAGTGTAATCACCCTGTGACCTGTAAGTGTAATCACCCTGTGACCTCTGGCCTGTAAGTGTAATCACTCTCTGACCTGTAAGTGTAATCACCCTGTGACCTGTAAGTGTAATCACCCTGTGACCTGTAAGTGTAATCACCCTCTGACCTGTAAGTGTAATCACCCTCTGACCTGTAAGTGTAATCACCCTGTGACCTGTAAGTGTAATCACCCTGTGACCTGTGAGTGTAATCACCCTGTGACCTGTAAGTGTAATCACCCTGTGACCTGTAAGTGTATTCACCCTGTGACCTCTGGCCTGTAAGTGTAATCACTCTCTGACCTTAAGTGTAATCACCCAGTGACCTGTAAGTGTAATCACCCTGTGACCTGTAAGTGTAATCACCCTGAGACCTGTAAGTGTAATCACCCTACGACCTATAAGAGTAACACCCTACATTCTGTGTATCACCCTGCAAAAATGCAGGTAGTCAACTGTATTCCAGTCAACATTTATTTTCATCTTTAAATCACATTCATACTAGATATCGTTTTATTTCTTAAAGTATTTATTTCTACTGTGAACGGTGTATAAGAGATATATCGAGATGTAGGATTTGGAAGAAGGAGATCTAGACACATAGACAGTTCGACCAGAGACATATATACGTCTCTGGTTAGACCAAACAGAAATATAAAATGTACATTACAAAGTTACATCAAAACAAATAACCATAAGACTGATGGATATGTAACACCATGAGAACTAATCTGTAGCTGTAAGTCTCAATCCACACTCTGCAGACCAATACATCGATGCTAAATTCCATCAATATATGAACAAACATGTACTTTTACTGGCTAAATGTGTTTTTTTTTAATGTACATGTCTAAAAGCAAAGTGAAACCTGTCATTCGTAAGCAGATGATTTACATGTTTTTTTAAATGATAATCTTATTGTAATTGACATATTTTTCGATATTCCAAACTGGATGTTGTCTTTGTAAGCACTAAAGTCACTTTGCTGTGATCTTAAACAAAATCGAATCTGACCGTTTGAATTGTAATTTATTTTCACAACCATACCGTAATTGTATAATTAAAACAGGTTCAACAATATCTTTCATATTTAGTGCATTTTGACTTAAGTTTTCAGGAAAGCTGTATAGCCATCCAACAATTTCCATACAAATAAACTAAAGGAAGTCCGAAAATCACAATGTTATATTTTATAAAAGTGATGAAGTTGTACTTTCGTTTTCCATACATTTATCATCAATAACATCGACTATCATTAATTGCCATCGAAAATATGGTATTTATCGGCACACGTTTTAAGATTTGCTAGACGTCTACTGATGTCTTGCGTGTGTTATATGACGGTATGTTGTGTACTCAAATCACTGGTTGTCTGTCTGCCAGTTCGCGATTCCACAGGCAGTCTGACAATTGATATTTAAGCTAATTACAGTTACTGTAAAATATATGTTAACAAAACTTTACGATACAGAATTTCTTTAAACTATCAGACATAACATTTAAGAATGTCACAACTTTGTATCAGAATGTTGACGTGTTTTTCTTAACGTACCTCGCATTAAAATCTAGATTGCTTGACTTATTTCCTGGTAATTTCCCGAAGGGTCATTGTAAAATAAACTGAAACGCAGCTTCCGCTGTGGCGTAAGTTCCGGAAACAATGTATAAAATGTTGACTAAAATAACAAAGATACAAAACGTATGTGTATCTGTTCTATCATTGATCCTCTGATTGTGGTTAGGACTGCAGCACAGTTTATCTGTGGCAAACAAAATGTAGGATACGGTTAAATCCGATATATAATATATTGTAACGAATTAATTTTACTTTCAAGTGTAATTTGTTATATGGATTTAC